TGAGCCCGGAGGACCAGCCGGCGAGATGATCGCAGACGCAATGCAGATTTCCCGGCAGATGTGCTCGAGATAGCAGGCGAAGCAGCCCAACGGTATGATAGCCAGGCACGTGGCAACCCAGGTAGCCTGCCGACAACAAAATAGGGGTTTAGTCCCAGCGAACGACTGGCCGCTGACTGCAATGACGGCTCTCGATGGCAGGCTATTTGTAGACAGCGATGGCCACCAGGCGAACTGGGTTGGAAGATATCGGCACCAGGGGAAATGCAGTCGATGAATCAGCTGAGCCCGGAGGACCAGCCGGCGAGATGATCGCAGACGCAATGCAGATTTCCCGGCAGATGTGCTCGAGATAGCAGGCGAAGCAGCCCAACGGTATGATAGCCAGGCACGTGGCAACCCAGGTAGCCTGCCGACAACAAAATAGGGGTTTAGTCCCAGCGAACGACTGGCCGCTGACTGCAATGACGGCTCTCGATGGCAGGCTATTTGTAGACAGCGATGGCCACCAGGCGAACTGGGTTGGAAGATATCGGCACCAGGGGAAATGCAGTCGATGAATCAGCTGAGCCCGGAGGACCAGCCGGCGAGATGATCGCAGACGCAATGCAGATTTCCCGGCAGATGTGCTCGAGATAGCAGGCGAAGCAGCCCAACGGTATGATAGCCAGGCACGTGGCAACCCAGGTAGCCTGCCGACAACAAAATAGGGGTTTAGTCCCAGCGAACGACTGGCCGCTGACTGCAATGACGGCTCTCGATGGCAGGCTATTTGTAGACAGCGATGGCCACCAGGCGAACTGGGTTGGAAGATATCGGCACCAGGGGAAATGCAGTCGATGAATCAGCTGAGCCCGGAGGACCAGCCGGCGAGATGATCGCAGACGCAATGCAGATTTCCCGGCAGATGTGCTCGAGATAGCAGGCGAAGCAGCCCAACGGTATGATAGCCAGGCACGTGGCAACCCAGGTAGCCTGCCGACAACAAAATAGGGGTTTAGTCCCAGCGAACGACTGGCCGCTGACTGCAATGACGGCTCTCGATGGCAGGCTATTTGTAGACAGCGATGGCCACCAGGCGAACTGGGTTGGAAGATATCGGCACCAGGGGAAATGCAGTCGATGAATCAGCTGAGCCCGGAGGACCAGCCGGCGAGATGATCGCAGACGCAATGCAGATTTCCCGGCAGATGTGCTCGAGATAGCAGGCGAAGCAGCCCAACGGTATGATAGCCAGGCACGTGGCAACCCAGGTAGCCTGCCGACAACAAAATAGGGGTTTAGTCCCAGCGAACGACTGGCCGCTGACTGCAATGACGGCTCTCTATGGCAGGCTATTTGTAGACAGCGATGGCCACCAGGCGAACTGGGTTGGAAGATATCGGCACCAGGGGAAATGCAGTCGATGAATCAGCTGAGCCCGGAGGACCAGCCGGCGAGATGATCGCAGACGCAATGCAGATTTCCCGGCAGATGTGCTCGAGATAGCAGGCGAAGCAGCCCAACGGTATGATAGCCAGGCACGTGGCAACCCAGGTAGCCTGCCGACAACAAAATAGGGGTTTAGTCCCAGCGAACGACTGGCCGCTGACTGCAATGACGGCTCTCGATGGCAGGCTATTTGTAGACAGCGATGGCCACCAGGCGAACTGGGTTGGAAGATATCGGCACCAGGGGAAATGCAGTCGATGAATCAGCTGAGCCCGGAGGACCAGCCGGCGAGATGATCGCAGACGCAATGCAGATTTCCCGGCAGATGTGCTCGAGATAGCAGGCGAAGCAGCCCAACGGTATGATAGCCAGGCACGTGGCAACCCAGGTAGCCTGCCGACAACAAAATAGGGGTTTAGTCCCAGCGAACGACTGGCCGCTGACTGCAATGACGGCTCTCTATGGCAGGCTATTTGTAGACAGCGATGGCCACCAGGCGAACTGGGTTGGAAGATATCGGCACCAGGGGAAATGCAGTCGATGAATCAGCTGAGCCCGGAGGACCAGCCGGCGAGATGATCGCAGACGCAATGCAGATTTCCCGGCAGATGTGCTCGAGATAGCAGGCGAAGCAGCCCAACGGTATGATAGCCAGGCACGTGGCAACCCAGGTAGCCTGCCGACAACAAAATAGGGGTTTAGTCCCAGCGAACGACTGGCCGCTGACTGCAATGACGGCTCTCGATGGCAGGCTATTTGTAGACAGCGATGGCCACCAGGCGAACTGGGTTGGAAGATATCGGCACCAGGGGAAATGCAGTCGATGAATCAGCTGAGCCCGGAGGACCAGCCGGCGAGATGATCGCAGACGCAATGCAGATTTCCCGGCAGATGTGCTCGAGATAGCAGGCGAAGCAGCCCAACGGTATGATAGCCAGGCACGTGGCAACCCAGGTAGCCTGCCGACAACAAAATAGGGGTTTAGTCCCAGCGAACGACTGGCCGCTGAGTGCAATGACGGCTCTCGATGGCAGGCTATTTGTAGACAGCGATGGCCACCAGGCGAACTGGGTTGGAAGATATCGGCACCAGGGGAAATGCAGTCGATGAATCAGCTGAGCCCGGAGGACCAGCCGGCGAGATGATCGCAGACGCAATGCAGATTTCCCGGCAGATGTGCTCGAGATAGCAGGCGAAGCAGCCCAACGGTATGATAGCCAGGCACGTGGCAACCCAGGTAGCCTGCCGACAACAAAATAGGGGTTTAGTCCCAGCGAACGACTGGCCGCTGACTGCAATGACGGCTCTCGATGGCAGGCTATTTGTAGACAGCGATGGCCACCAGGCGAACTGGGTTGGAAGATATCGGCACCAGGGGAAATGCAGTCGATGAATCAGCTGAGCCCGGAGGACCAGCCGGCGAGATGATCGCAGACGCAATGCAGATTTCCCGGCAGATGTGCTCGAGATAGCAGGCGAAGCAGCCCAACGGTATGATAGCCAGGCACGTGGCAACCCAGGTAGCCTGCCGACAACAAAATAGGGGTTTAGTCCCAGCGAACGACTGGCCGCTGACTGCAATGACGGCTCTCTATGGCAGGCTATTTGTAGACAGCGATGGCCACCAGGCGAACTGGGTTGGAAGATATCGGCACCAGGGGAAATGCAGTCGATGAATCAGCTGAGCCCGGAGGACCAGCCGGCGAGATGATCGCAGACGCAATGCAGATTTCCCGGCAGATGTGCTCGAGATAGCAGGCGAAGCAGCCCAACGGTATGATAGCCAGGCACGTGGCAACCCAGGTAGCCTGCCGACAACAAAATAGGGGTTTAGTCCCAGCGAACGACTGGCCGCTGACTGCAATGACGGCTCTCGATGGCAGGCTATTTGTAGACAGCGATGGCCACCAGGCGAACTGGGTTGGAAGATATCGGCACCAGGGGAAATGCAGTCGATGAATCAGCTGAGCCCGGAGGACCAGCCGGCGAGATGATCGCAGACGCAATGCAGATTTCCCGGCAGATGTGCTCGAGATAGCAGGCGAAGCAGCCCAACGGTATGATAGCCAGGCACGTGGCAACCCAGGTAGCCTGCCGACAACAAAATAGGGGTTTAGTCCCAGCGAACGACTGGCCGCTGACTGCAATGACGGCTCTCTATGGCAGGCTATTTGTAGACAGCGATGGCCACCAGGCGAACTGGGTTGGAAGATATCGGCACCAGGGGAAATGCAGTCGATGAATCAGCTGAGCCCGGAGGACCAGCCGGCGAGATGATCGCAGACGCAATGCAGATTTCCCGGCAGATGTGCTCGAGATAGCAGGCGAAGCAGCCCAACGGTATGATAGCCAGGCACGTGGCAACCCAGGTAGCCTGCCGACAACAAAATAGGGGTTTAGTCCCAGCGAACGACTGGCCGCTGACTGCAATGACGGCTCTCGATGGCAGGCTATTTGTAGACAGCGATGGCCACCAGGCGAACTGGGTTGGAAGATATCGGCACCAGGGGAAATGCAGTCGATGAATCAGCTGAGCCCGGAGGACCAGCCGGCGAGATGATCGCAGACGCAATGCAGATTTCCCGGCAGATGTGCTCGAGATAGCAGGCGAAGCAGCCCAACGGTATGATAGCCAGGCACGTGGCAACCCAGGTAGCCTGCCGACAACAAAATAGGGGTTTAGTCCCAGCGAACGACTGGCCGCTGACTGCCGAGTAACCATGAGTTATAAAGATAGCTCCACAGATTTATGCAGTTTTATAGTTGTACATTTATGTTAGGTATTTCTAAGATGGGCCAAAATTAATCGTCCTAGTTTTATGTATCTGGTTCATTCGCGAAGCAAGAAAAATGAACAATGATAATAATTGCGAGGCTCGTTTCCTATGTACATTAGCGTATTCAACTGGCTTGTTTGCAGGGCCTCTTTTTGTCTTTTAAATTTCTACTTGAGGAAGTCACAACTGTGTAAAGATGGTGATGACGTTACTGTGGCTGTTACCCCCGAAGATGGCTGTCTTGACGCAAGTTCGCAATGCTGAGAATTCGCTTGATCCTGGCGGTGGAACGTCGGCTGACGTAGGCATACACCGTAAGTGGCTATTCCACTATATGTAAGATTTTGCTGCAATCACAAAGAAATCTTCATTTGCTGGTGAACTTCGCTGCGGCTTCTTTAACTGCCGACCAGAATTGCTACAAGCCTTTGATTTTTGGTGCTTCACATGTGCCGGTTTTTGTTTTTATTTTGGCACAGTGCGAGGCATGAGTAGTATAGCATGATATTCTAGGAAGTTGTTGGCACCAAGGCACCCCATTTTAGGCGTATCTGCTAGGATATTCTGATACAAACCCAGTAGGTAATTTTAAGAACTCAAAAAGAAGCTAGAAAAGCAAAAGTATGCAGGCGGGGTGGTTAGGATTTATCGTGCCCTAAATCCAAGACAATAAGAATTAAAATAACGGACAAGACAAGACGTCTTGTTTGTTATTTTAATTCTCCTTTTTCAGGGTTTTAGAGTATGAAGCTACAAAGTAGTCATCAGAAGAAATACAAAAATGACACTCACTTCTGCACTTGTTATTGCATTGAGCATACGATTCAAAAATGTTGTCTCTGGGTCCCCTGCCGCCTTTCCAGCGAAATTTTTCGCACTTCAGGGAAGAAGAGTTGTAAGTCCACCTTTCAATGTCCTGATTTCCCCAGCGATTTTCGGGGTCTTCAAAACACTCCTTTGGTACATTTTCTGTTATTTGACGCGAATGGAAATAAAAATTAATAAAAAGAAACAAAAAAATGAAAGACGTTTACAAATCTCTGTAATGCAAAACTAGAGCGCAGCTCTTGGGGAGGAAGAGGGGTAGGATACGGAGGGGAGGGTATGCCCCTCCTCCTCTGTACCATCCCCTCTTTCTCTCCTCTTTCTTCTCCTCTCCTCCTCCCCTCTTCCCTCCTCCTTTCCTGCTGCTGAATTTGTTCATGGGTGACGTGCAGGAACTCGTGACGTCATTTTCCCCGCTAAATTGAGGGGAAACCTTAACCTGCTAAAGTTAGCAGATATATTTTCCCGCTAAAGATAGCAGGGAAGTGTTACCGCTAAATTTAGCGCGAAAACGTCCCATGATGCAACGCGCGCGGTTACACCGACGCCGACGGCGATGCCGACGCCACCGAACCCGGAAACGGGCTACTAAGAGCTGCTCTCAAAAACTTGTATTTTAAGTTATATTTTAGCTGCAATTTTTTATGTGTTTCTACTATTTTTTTTGACTACTGGAACGCTTGAATTAAAACTATCGCTATACATGGTATTTCAAGGTAAAGGTAGATATACAATGGCGGAACTTCCTGGAGTTTCTTAAACCTTTTTGCATTTCGTGTATTTTTCAATAAGCGAGAGCTGAGCAGCGTTGCTTTGAAGAATTTGTTGGCGGAAAGTGTGCAAAAAAAAAAATGACGCGCCATGGATCGATGAGTAAACCTTGACTATCCGAAGTCAAGAATAAGTACCGTTGCTGGTTTTATTTGGCCTCCCTGCCGAAAGTTACCTGGCCCTATGTGACAGCCCACGGAAGACCCGGCTATTTACACAGGAGACAATCAGCTGAACAAAAACCAGTTAAGATTATGTAAGCGAGAGAGCGAAGAGTGCGTGCACCAGGCCCTCGTCGTTTTGTCAACTGCTCGTCATGCGCATCGTTGACATCCAATACTGTGGTCGCCGTTAGTCTTCAAGGTAGCCAAAGCGAAACTATAGGATACGCTTGTCGGGCGTGGTCAGAAAAGTTGCGAAGGATTACGCCGCTAGTGCTCGTGCTTGGCAAAAAGCAAGCGGTGCGTTTTCGACGACGAGTGAATATATATGTTGACAGTCACAACATCGGCCTTCCGCGGCAATTTCTTTAATGACATATATGGGGAAGCGTTTCCGACGCGGACGGGGAAGGACCGTTTTAGGTTCGGAAACTCCGCCATTGAAGTAATGAAACAAGTTACGTGTCCAGCTTGCTGCCGAGCACTCAAAGCAAGCAGACACAAGCAAGCAGCACGCATACAATGGAGACACATGTCGACGTGCATCACGAGCTGGGTGAGTGATAAAATAGAGAGGGTGGTACCAATTGTTTCATGTTATGTTTCATGCTTTGCTTCAAATGTGCCATGAAGAGACGTTTTATTGTATGCTGAAAAAGAAAGAAAAAAAAAAAAAACGCTTCTATGGCTTTTTCGGTGTTTCAGGCAAAGTGCCGGCTTACGGATCCCCAGGTTCAGTTTCAGGCTAAAAGATCCCATTCCTCAGTCTCTGCTGGAACGTCACACATAAACTCCGGAAAACGTTATTTTTAATTAGTTCGTGGGTCCCTTGAATGGTGTTTGTTCAAGACTGCCACAAACCGTCTGCTAGCAAACGTCCAAGCGCGCGAAAAATAACGTAAGTGAGTGACAGCATTTGCTTGAAAATTAATAAATAATAGTAATAATAACAACACTTATTTTTATTAATAAAAATATGCAGTATCAAGCTGGTTTGTGTCATGAAAACCTGGGATCTTAAATTTTTAAACGAAAATGTTATTTATATTTTTGACGTCCAAATCTCTGAACATGGGGGATATTAGGTATTCATTCAATCAAAGTTTATTGGCTAAGCTCTCCGAAAGAGTCATATGCCTACATGCTTGGCTAAGAAAGTGGGATGAATCCTAATTGCGTAAAATCGACGCGCGCTGGACAGCGACTGGCCACGCTCGACGGCCGCAGCGTTATACATTTCGTGGAGATGTTTTGAAATAAAAGCTGCGCAGTCAATTACACAACATTTCAGCATCTTCGTAGTCGCTGGACACAAATAGCACCATACAAAACCGATTGAATTACACAACACGCGAAACTTCGTAGAGATTTGGTTCTTTAAGTGGATGCAAATGATACCCAAACCGGGAAGGGTCTTCGGCCCGTGTCATGGCGGCCAGGATTGCCCGGAATAACATGTATATTAGAACAAGTTTACGTTGTGGCCGCCACTCAACCAATACAATTTCTTTTTGCAATTATATTTGCTGAGTGTTGGCTACATTGTAAAATTCGAAAGACCGCATCTCGTATTTTCCCAATGTGTTGTGCATTGCTTATAATGTGCATCAAAATATGGGCATGTGAACATGGGCGCATACGCATTGAGAAATATTATTTTAGATATTGTTGCTTTCATCGTTACTTCTCTTTTTCCCCACGACCAAGACTACCTAGGTCAAGCTCCAGCTTTCCTAAGCACCATAAACGTTCAAATATTTTAACAAACGCTGAATGCAGAAAGTGGGCATGACATTTGGGAAAAAAAAAACTACTACAGGCACGTTACGCGGTGGTCGACAAAGTTGCCTAATCAAATAAGTGACACCAAGTTTGTGTTGCAGACGTATGCTCACTTTATCCCAGATCACGCGATACCACAAACGCGAACAAGCATTCGCTATATTAATATATATCGCAGCGATCAAATTTAAAAATTGCTTACACTTGGGCATGAACAATGCTCAGAGGGAGAGAGAGAGAGAGAAACTTAGAATGACAGATATAAGGCTTGCGAAAGAAGAAATACTAAAGTGGTTGTTGCAGCCAGAGGCCGGACCATCATGATTGGTTGGCAGGAGGAGGAGAGGGTTATCATTAGTTGGGGGTACGGGAGAAGAACTTTGAGACTAATGTTAAGAACAACAATAAAATAGTATTCGGAAAATTCGTTAGTTATTCTGCCAACATCCGGAAAACTGGAGTGTTGTTGTTGAAACCGACTGAAGTAATACGTGAAGCATACAGTCAAAACTGAATAGGCTTTTTCCGAAATTCAATCTGGCCACTTTGATAACTATTAACTTAGTTTGTGGTATCTTTGCCGGGCTAAGGAGGTTTTCTGGTGGCTGATGAAGAAATAAAGTGAAGGCAAGCTCCGCAGTAAATAATATCATGGGGATTAGAGAGGTTAGTGCATTGCAACGCATGAAATCGATACAAGCGCTGCGCCAGCGTTTATTCAGAGCATGTTTCTAATCAATTAATAAGCACACGTCCTGCCCGCACACCTCGTGATGTCCTGAATTCTATGACGAGTTTCACTCTATACAGCGCCTCATACAGACTGGTAGTTTCTAGTTACCATCGAAACTAAAACGAAACGAAAAATAACTAACAGCAGAAACCACATGCGTATCTGCCATTGACGTAGAAAGAGGCGGCGGTTGATTATATATTATATATTAAGCACAATGACCGTGGGAAATTTTGTGACAAATTTTCGACCCACTACATGGCACTATACTCCTTTAAAAGGTCGAGTATGACTTCTTGATGAGTAAGTTCATTTGCTGTGTGTGAGTCCTTTGTAGACAGCGATACTAAAATGCTGGGGTAAATTTTTCCCCCGATTGGTTACACGCAATAAGTGGACGTCAGTCAATGAACGTCAATGAACGTCAATGGATGCGATGCCTTAAGGTGCACCAGTACCGAAGGGCACTTGTTACGATTGAAAAGTGGACTTTACAATGCGAAACTTTAACACATTTTTTGGCGAACCGATAAGAGGTTTGTTCAAGAAACAGAAAATGTTTTCCATGAGACTCAATTATTAAGCTTATTTGAAATAATATGTTAAACGAATCTCTACGACAGAACTGAAAATTGTCCCAGGTGATATTTGTTAAGTGTCATGAGTCTGGATTATTTCATCTCAAACCGTGCAGGCGAAAAGGGGCGAACTTTATTTTGGACGTAAAATGCGCACGTTGTAAGACATGTTCTCCCAGAAAAAAAAGATGAAAACCGCGGATTTGAATAGGATATTGTTCTCGAGTTATGGCGCGCAGAAAAAGCCGCGTTGGAAATGGACATTTTTCCAGAGTGTTGAAGATCGCATGTTTGGCTCACCCTCATCCCTTGATTTTCGCCTCTACGTTATTAATTTTTATTATAACTCTGTGGACACCACAAAAAGGCATTCGTGTATTTTAAGAATTGCAGGGTTTACATTTAAGAACACGTGCAAACGAAGAAAAAAAAGTGAAAGGCGTTTACAAATCCCTGTAACGCCGAATTGGAGCGCAGCTCTTGAGGCGAAGTAGGGAAGGGTACTGAGGGGGGTCACGTCACCTGCGGGTAGTCACGTGACCCCGGGGGGTCACGTGATCTCGTGGGAGGGGAGGTCACGTGACCTCGGGGGGGGGGGGGGGTCACGTGACCTGGGGGGTCACGTGACCTCGAGGGGGATCATGTGACCTCAAGGGGGGGGGTCACGTGACCTCGGGGGTCACGTGACCCCCCCCCCCCCCGGTTACGCCGACGCCGACGCCGCTCAGGCTGGAAACGGGCCCCTATGAGCTGCGCTCTAAAAAATTTTTAGACAGCCTAGATAGAAAAAGAATGTTTTAAAACGAGTTTATGACGAAGAAAACAAAAATTAGAGCTATAATTCCGGCGCAAAACGAATTTGTAGTTGGCGCCGCGGGAGCCGCCGTGGGTCATGTGGCAGACCTGTGCGCCGTCGCGCTGTGCGGCCGCCACCTCAAAGTCATGCCGCCGCCGCACGCCGAGCGTGGTGCGCCGCCGGTTCATCGCGTTTTTCCACGCCGCCGGCGCCGCCGCCGCCGCCGCGCAAGTTCGTCTGCTTCGGAGCGCCGCCGCCATCATCTGACCGGCGCACAGGTCTATCAGGTCTGCTTGCGCTTTTCCAGGAGTTTCCTTCGGGTTGTAAAAGCTACTTATTAATCTTGTGTTTTGTTGCACTTCAAATGAAGATGAATTAGTAACTTTTTAATACCATAAGAAGCTTCCGAAAGAGCGCAAGCACAACGTGACAAATAGCGGCCAGTAACGTGATAAATAAGGGCCACTTTTCCGCGGTGCCCGCGGGCGCCAACTACAAATTCGTATCGCGCCGTAAATATAGCTCTACAAAATGTTCTTTTTCGATTTAAATTCGTTTTATGGCTCTCTTTTCCCAACCAGGCCGTTTAAAAAAAATGTTTCTTTTTTTCATTTGCATGTGTACTTTAAGAAAGATTGCCAAACAGACCTCCCAGGTCGATTTTTTTATAAATCTTGGCAGGCTGTTCTCTGCGACCGACAGGGTGTCACAAAAAATTTTTTTCCAGGTTTTTTTTTTACCGCAAAAATAAACTAGGCATTGCCGAACGCTCATTCTCCGCCCAAAGGTAGCGCTTGAAGGCACGACAAGATGCCAAAGATTTAGCCCGATCTGATACCTGATTCAAACGTTATGAGTGATTTTCTGAAAATGTCAATGGGAAAATGGAGCCGATTTTTGCCCGTTTTCGGTTTCTGGTGCCATAGAGACCCATGTTCTCGTAAACTCCGTCGGCCGCCATTTTCCCATTGAAATTTTCAGAAAATCATTTGTAACTTCTGATTAAGGTATCGGATTGGGCTGAAACATTGGCATCTTGTTGTGATCTCTAGCGCTACCTTTGGGCGGCAAATGAGCGTTCGGCGATGCCCAGTTTATTTTTCCGGTAAACAAAAACCTGTACATTCTTTTTTGCGACACCCTGTACTTAAGCTATACTTACTTTTTATGCCCATGGCAAAGCCAAAAAAGATATCTTTGTCTCTCTCTTTCTCCCTCTTCATTTCTCTCTCTCTCTCTTTCTCTCTCTCTCTCTCTATATATATATATACATACATACATATAAATAAAGAGCACCTTTCGGGTGTCCATGGACATAAATATTATAATTATAGCACATAAGTCGCAGATGGCAGCCTATCAAAATCTATGCAAAAATCGACCTGGGAGGTGAGTTTGGCGATTTATTAAAAAAACAAAACACTGTAAAACATATTTAATTACATGAAGACATATTCATGGTGTCCATAGAGTTATATAGAGACATCAAAATAACGATGAGGCAAAAACCACGGGACGTGAGCGAGTCAGACATGCGACCTTCGACAGTCGAGAAAAACGCTAATTTCCACCACGGCCTCTTTTGTGCTACATAACTCAAAAACAAAGAATTATCATAAACCTTGCCTTTCACTCATCTTCTATGTAGAAACGTCCCTACACAATACGTGTTTAATTCGTTAAAATTAAACATTCGATTCCTTTTTCCTGCACGATTTGAGATGAAATCACCCATAGCGCCCATATAGAGGAATACTAAGCCAAGTCAGACCCTCTCAGGCATGGCTGACGCGATACACATAACAACGCATGTCGTGGTTGTCGTGCGTTTTTCCCCTGTTTTTTTAGTGCTGTTTTGTTTATTTTACGTTTATAATTTCTTCGAAATGCAGCCTTTTGTATATTTGTTTCTAGTTATCTATGGAGAAATACTGCAACCAAACTATTAAAGCGATTTCTATGTATCCTCGTATGTCTGCCCACAACCATTCCATAAAAGAGTGTTGCCGAAGAAAACAGCAAAAAAAAAAAAAGCAACAAAACAAAAAGGTAGGAATATGCCTTGATCTATGAACTCTTAACAAGCTTCTTCGTAATTCCTTTGGTGAGCCGTGCCAATATGGCCCTTTTCTTAGGTAAAAATATATTTGGCACCTAATCAAGTTTTAAGGCACTTTCCAATAATATATATTATAATTCAGCACATTTCATGAGAAGTCGTTTTAGATACTGGCAAGACTAACACCTCTCGGCCCAAAATGACAAAGAAAGACATTGAATCCCGATGCTACTTACTTCTGCATTTGGTGTTACATAGTTCTTGGTTGACGAATTTGTTTTCATTGTCATCATCATCGGGAGGAAAAACCATATTCTCTATGCAATTATCGGTCCTCCAATCGTAGAAAAAAAATAGTCGTTTGGCGCCTGAGCCAGTGTCGGGATCCTGGTGGCAGACGTTCACTATGGTGCTCGATTGGCACGAAGTTGAACATAAACCTAGAACAAGATAGAATACTAGAAATTTATATTTCTCATCTCGATTACATACGTTAAAAAGGACGACAATGCTACATGTTTAAACAAAAAGTAATAATTTGTTTTCTCAAGAATTGAGAGGGGGTTGAAGGTTGAGGCGAGGGTTTTGCGGAACCCGATTTGAGAACCATTGGTCTAGAAAGTGATAGCAAACGCGCATAGACGACGAGCGCCATTGCGATGGACTTTTAGCCCTGCTTGATTTGCTTCATCACGTCGTAGCTTCGGCTGCAGTTGCACTTGATATCAAACTGCGTATAGCCTTTGGCTAGTCTCCCACATGTGGTAGAACAAAGTGTGCACACTCTGAAATTGCCCACCCCAACGTCTACTGAGACCTACCTGTTTCCGCTGCAGATATTACACCGAGGAATTCTGTTATTTTGAGTTTAACGAAGCATACATTCGAGTAAGAAAATTGCGTTTCCAAAATGATCGGCTGCTGCGCACCGGCATGTAACTCCTACAACTTGCACCTTGCAACTTGCAAAATTACCGACGTTCTTGGCACCTAGGGCGCAATGCTCTAGGTGCCAAGAACGTCGGTAATTTTATGCAGCCAAAAGTGGACCTGTAAGACCTTTTGCAATTTTAGTATACCTCGGTAGAAAGCGGAGTATGTTTCCTACTTTATGATCATCGGTGCCTTAAACGATAGACCACAATGCGTTTTATACGACAGCTAAAATAGGACTAACACCAGGGCTCCTGATGCTACCGGTGTTTTTGCTCATAGCACCCTCTTCTCCCTGTTTCGCGTACCGGTATCTTTTTTTATATGAGGTAAGGGTCTCTTAGTTTTTCAGGTTATAAGGATTGATTTATGCCAAGAACACAACGTGTTACCTACCAATCAAAAAGATGCTGTTATTACTTTGGTACATACGTTTGTTTAATATTTCCATTCAACGTAAGGAAAAATACGCTTATTCAGGTCTCATGAAATTCTTATCAGCGCGTGAAGTACGCATTCAGTGAATGAATCAGGCAAATATTTTTTTTAAACTGTACCACTTTTAATGTAATTTTAAAATCAATTGTCATGCAGGTGCTCATGCATATATGTTTATTTAATATGCCAACACTGTACTTCTGCGCCATGTTGAAAAAGTGGAAAATTAACGACTGATATGTTAGTCTATATACGACCAAGATTGACATTTATCTTCGAATACTCAATATATGTAAATTATTGCGAACTGCAGTATCATCGCCTCCTATATACCGACAAAGCCTTGATGATCGCAACGAGAAGCGGCCGCCGAAATGGAAAAGGTGGAGCGGCAGACAATGGATGAGACGAGAGCCACTAGACTGGCGCCCCGTTGCGGCGAGACTCCGAAACAGACTTCTCCCGAGTGAACAAGTATGTTTCGGGTCCTCGCAGCTGCAAAAGCTGTGCGCTGACGTTCAGGTTTTTCGAGAAATGTCTCTTTGGTGCTCTGTGCAACCAGATCCTCGCACTCCAAATCTGCAACCAGATCCTCGCGCTCCGAATCTGCGACCGAGCACTCTATGGCTCCATCGCCAAACTGCCAGGATTTATGGGTATAGAGGAGCCTATGACAGCGTCTATCGACTTTTTTCAGTGCTTATCACAAGGTGAAAAAGGCTGAGTCATGGCTGTGTGGACCACTGATATAGTGTGGACTGTGTGGACCACTGACTATAGGGGGCTGGATGGCGCTTAGCTGCTCTCCGAGCCTGGTGCAAGTGAAGCCACCGGAATTTCGACGCTTGTCCCGGAAGTTGGGCGTGAGCTGGGCTTCCTAGTGCATTTAGTCGATATTTTGGACCATGCTTTTTTGTGTCTTTGATTGGGTTTAACACTCCCGTTCTGGATTAAATCCCGGGAATGAGGCATTTGAACTTGTGACATATTCACACTTGATCAACTAGAATCTCAAAATGTTTGCATTGAATGACTTCCCATGATATTTCTCTGGTCTACATGCGCTGTTACTGCGCAACAAGCAGGCTCTCTTGAGGAAACAAGCGAAAATCCAGCGCCCTCGACGCTTTTCGTACCAGCACTCGGAAGGGTTACAAAGCCTGCCAAGCGCTCACTTCCGGGACAAGCCGCTTACTTCCGGTGGCTTCATACCTGTTTGCTCAATGCGCCATCCAGCCCCCTCTAGTGGAGATCAGTGGTGTGGACGTATGTGTGGCGTCTCATATTTCGTAAAAGAAAGGTACTGCGCGCGCTCAGAGCGTGTTTCACAGCTCACAAGACAAAGATGACAGCACCCAGAAGGCGATTATTGGAAAGGACTATGCAAAAATTTGTTTTACAGATTTGGTTAGAAAAATTACAGGAAGATTCATTGGTGGATTCTTAGGGAATACGTTATCATGTCACTTAGAAACGCCACACACGTCTCCCTTCGGAAAAAGTTAACGCTGACTCCTTCACTTTTTTCTTATGGCTTTTCCTTTTGCTTCCTCTATTTTGTGCTGCCTCTTTTTGCTCTCGTTGCGAGGACAGTGTAAGCATTTTCCAAAGGAGGACGTATGTCCACCAATGGATGTTCCTGTAATTTTTTTAAACGTATTTTGTACTCAGTCTGTCAGAGTACGTCGAGACACTTGGATGTGGGCATCCATATCACTCGTAAACAAAACCGTATCTAGGGCAGACGAGGAGGTGCGCCAACGAGAGGGCCAGGGAGCATGACCCTTCTGTTAGGCGGTCACCCTCGGGAAACTTGGCCGTTCATTGTGATCGGTGCCCATGTTCTCCTGCACTCGATGATATGCAGATTTTGGGACGATATAAAACAAGAACAGGAAGAGAAATCTTCGAGGCTTTTAAAATCAGGGTGAAGGGCGATGCATATATCAGAACTTCTTCAGTCCTTTCATCAGATAAGGAATTTTAATTCATCTCACGAGAAGTTTGATTACAAGCAAATGGTTGCTTGGGTTTGTTTTTCCGAATAAAAATTCAATTGACAGTAGCGCATCGTCTCGTCTATTCCTCCTGTTATCCTTGTTTTCTGGCGCTTTTCGAATCCAAGAGGGAACCGCATCCATTGTTTTAACTACACACAAGCATCACAGCCCACGCAGCGCTACTGCGGAATCCCAGAGCGAAGAACAACCCGCAACGGCAAAGTGGCAACTGAGCACGCCGCAGCGCTGAATGAGATTGCGTCATCAGAAAAGGCCAACGCTGGGCACAGATTGGACACAAATATTTCGTCAACGTTCGGCTCGAACTTGAATCAAAGCTGATCACTGACGGAGCACTCGTTTCAGTCTGTGTCCAGCGTTGGCCTTCACATATAAAGCCATCTCATTTAGCACAACGGTTTGGTTATCATGGATGTGTTGCAACTTGCGCGGCGTCTCCACGTCTCTGGCTCCGCACTCACTAGCTGTGCGCGTCACTTCGCCGAAAACGAAAGGACTCGTTCTGAAAAAAGCTTGGCGGTTGTCTGTCAGTTCGTCAGCGCCAGGGAAAGGTTGACGCGTGCTGACGTCTGCGGTTCGGACCAATGGGAGCTTCGCATGGGTCATGCTCTCCTTCTCTTCCTCCCTCTCTCCCCGCACTGAGAGACGAAAGGCACTCCCGGGTTTTCGTTTAAACGGACGATTTAAGGCCAACGAATTAAAAGCCTATGAAAGCTACAAGCATTGCGGTCAGCGCCGGTGAGCTAAACGGCCAGGGGGACGTGATAAAGGGAAATACTAGTCACAATCAGTCTGTGAATTAACTAAAAGTTGTTAATTACCTCCTTAATTAACATAGATGGATTTATGATTAGAATCCCAAACTTGCTGAGCGTCTTCAAAAGTCAAATATTAAATTTGAAAAAAGATTAAGGGCGCGCAGAAATCATGGTAGTACGCTGAAGTTACCGCCTGTGCACCATGCGTAAGGCTAGTGGCGCAAAATCGCACCCGTAAGGTTTTTTTTTCGTCTCTTCCCGTCCGCATCGGCAGCATTGGGCCCGTTGCACAAGTGACAAGTGTAAAGCCACTCCGCTTCCCACGCTCCAAACTCTTTCTGAATTGTACTTAGTGGTTTCCAATGATGCTCAGCTAATTTATAAATGGTACGATATATTTATTTGTGCTATTTATAAAGGTAATTAACGAAGCTTATTTCATTACTCGACTTATTATGACAATTGTAAAGGCCGTGTAATGTGCCTGTAAAGACCGTATTAGTGCTTTCACGGCGTGGAAACAGGAATTTGAAAAGCGTTTTTTAGGCATATTTTTAAAACGAAGATGGTCGTCATAACATCAAAGTCAAAGTCCCAAATCAATACCAAAAAACCTTAAGGAGATTGGTTTTTCAACAGAAAAGTTTAACAGCTTCATAGAGTAATGTTGACAACAGGACTAGGCGAGTCGAAAACAATTAAAAGATTATAGGGCCTGAGCAGTATACATTTTCTAAAAACAAGTTTGGAAAAACAATGTTGAAAATATTCTTTACGAAACTTATAAATTAAAATGAGACATATGTATTGTACCTCCCTCTTCTAAATTAAAAAAGTGGGCATAGCTGTAACCATTCTAAAAAAGCTATCTTCAATGGGCACATCTAGCTAAAGCAGAACTGTCTAGTGACATTAACCGAGAAAAATATTTTCAATAAAAATAATTACCCTTTGCTGTGATCCCGAGAATCCATACGACTTGAATGAGCATCGCTAGCTCTATAGACGGGGAATATAAATCAATGGCCGATGTTAGAGGTTCTGTTGATAGCTTTTTACATATCCTCCAGACAAAATATATAATTTTTGTGAATAGAAAGAACAGAAGCAAACATTTAACATCAACATCTGGAACCTGTGACGCATTCCTGACGTCGTTCGTGGTGCTAATAAAAAAAAAGCTAATTAAGTGACGTGTTTATCGAGGCCTAAGGTATATTGTACCCGTGGCAGATGTGAAGACGAACAGTAATGCTTCCGTGTTTTGCGAAAAAAAGAAATACTCCATTCGCACTCTACGCGAAATAATATCTCAATGACAGCGTATCTGGTTTAAGTAGTTTTAAATATTTTTCGTTTCTTAAAACAAAACAAAAATATATTGCATCACGCAGAAAGCAGGCTCCAACTATTGAATATGTCAAACCTATCCAACTCGTCCTGAAATTTGAGAACAAACATCGGCGATAATTTGAAGACGTTTTGGTGTGCTTCACGAACAAAGTCAAAAACGAAATATTTCTTGTAGTTTTGCTTTAACGTAAAACACACATATATATATAACTGAGAAGAAAAAACCCTTAGTGAAAACAGCAACAACGGACGATTTAATCTTCGACGTTTCGGCCGTAGTCCGGCCTTCCGCACGAAGGCCGGACTCCGGCCGAACCGGCTAAGATTAAATCGTTCACGAAGGCCGGACTCCGGCCGAAACGGCGAAGATTAAATCGTCCGTTGTTGCTGTTTTCACTAAGGGTTTTTTTCTTCTCAGTTTTATACCCACGCCTTCGGCCTCTCGCCACCATGCCCGTTGTATATATATATATATATATATATATATATATATATATATATATATATATATGTGTGTGTGTGTGTTATTAGTCAGGCTCTTATACTTTGTCTAAGCTTAAGTCCAGACGTAGACGACGCTACTACGCAATATAGTCAATCAAGCAGAGTGAAAAACGCAAGTCACCAGCCCTTTCCTGCACATGATTGGTACGGAATTGATAAAACACGTACAAAACTATGATAAACGCCATGACGGTGTGCTTTTGACGCTGTTTGGTACGTTGCATTAGCTCGTAGCGTCGGTCGCGTCTGGACTTCAGGTAAAACAAGGTGTAGGCTTGACAAGTATCACTGATATGTACGCTCTAAACCGCAAAGCTTCCAAGCGAAAACACGAATGATAATTTTCTCATCCGCATCCATCATGACAAATAATCAAAAATCAGCGTATACCGAGTAGGATTGTCTCGAAGTGGGAATGCATCGGCCGTTTTTACGGACTCGTTCATCTTTTGAATTTTGGGCACTCGCGACTTGCCAGGGAAGTTTTTGAAGACAACTTAATCCCCAATAAAAGTCGGGATATCAAATGTAGAGAACTTCAGCCCATCCTGGTACTATGGCACACAACCCAAATTGAATACTTTGAGAGAAAACAGGCCTCGAAGGCGGGATGGTTCAGCTGTTTTTAGGCGTTCGTTCATCTTTTAAAATCTGGGCACACGTACTTCGCCAGGGAACTCCCTGAGGACAACACAGTTCTCAGCGATATACATTATTTAAAGTATAGAGCCCTCGAGTTCATCCTGGTACAGTGACAATTACTCGAAAGTAAATTCTTTTTGAGAAAACCGGGCCCAAAATGGGTGTGGTGCGGCTGATTTTAGGCATTCGTTCATCATTTGAAATTTGGGCAAGAGTGACCACGCCCGGTAACGTTTTGAGGATAATCAAGTTCTCAGCTGAAGACAGAATTTAAACTTTAGAGCCCTTGATCCCATCGTGGTACTATATCGAGTACTCTAAAAGGATTAATTGTCGAGAAAACCGGCCTCAGCGTGGGGATCATTCGGCAGTTTTTACGCATTCGTTCATCTTTTGAAATTTGGGCACTCGTGCCTCATCTAGGATCTTTTTGAGGTCGGCCGAGATGTTAACTGTTGATGAAATATAAAATTTAGGGCCCTCAAAAATAAGCTGCTACTACGGGAAATACTCTAACATGAGCCATACTTCTGTACACTTGTCACGAAGTGGACATGGTTTGACTATTTTCAGGCATTCGTTCTTCATTTCAAATTCGGGCAACTGCCTCTCATCTAGGAACATTTTGAGATCGGCCGATTTTTTAACTGTTGACGAAATACACAATTTAGGGCTCTTGACCACAGGCTGCTGCTATAGCAAATTCTGTGAAATGAGCCATCTTTGAGAAAGTTTGTCTCGAAGTGGACACAGTTCGACTATTTTTAGGCATTCGTTGGGACATCCGCGCCTCATCCAAGGACATTAAAGATCGGCCGAATGTTTAACTGGTGACAAAATAATGCTTTAAGGCTGCCGAACACAAGCCTCTGCTATTGCAAAATCTCGGTTTTCAGCCCTCTTCGAAGAATGTGATATCAAGTCAGATATTTTAATACGCTCTTTTTCGCGTCTTTTTTTTTCCTGTTTGTGTTCAGGGCGATTGAAATAATTTAATATAAGTATTTAGTACGTTCCTAAATATTACTTTTGTGATCGGAATGTTAAGTTAACAAGAGCAATCATACTCTCATAAATCGTTTTTTTTTTCACCGCAGTGCTTCCATTCCTCACAATAAAAAAGTCACTGTTAAATCGCGTAACAATAATAATGTGTAAAAATATTTTGGAAGCCTATGGGTATTCTTTTGTTATCGTAATACACACAGTTGTTTTTTTCTTTCTAGCTTATTCATGTCAGTAGCAGAATAGTGGATATGATCGTAAACGTCTAAACGAGAAATCATCCGCCTTATTTGGCAAACTGGTTTTGGGAACCAAAGAAAAGAATTTTTAGAACAAACGAATTGTACCCATTATCTAAATGATATATTCTTGTGGTTTACTGTAGTCGAACGGCAAATCTTGTATTTTTCGTTATTTTTAAGTTGTGCTCGTTTGAACTTTGTTCTTTTTCAAAACTTGGTCTGAGCTGCCTGCGAAATATATTTTTCTACAGATGTAATAAATGTTTTAGACACTACAGATTTTCCGTAATATTGGAAAGGACTTCTAGTTCATTTAAACGTTTATAACGATTTGCTTATCCGCAATAGTAAACTGTAGACTTCGATCAACTTTGAGGCTGTCTGTATTGGCAACACACCAAAAACTTTATTCGACTGAGGAACCTGCAGTTTACAGGTTATCATATTAAAAGTTTGGCAAACGAAATGCGGTATATGATAGAATAAGGTAGTGGCATGGCAAATTATTCAAAGCGTAAAGTTTCGGCGTTGGTGGCCATATTTCTATATGGGCTTCTATGGGAGCGCTGCCGCAACCAGCCAAGAGGTGGCGCAAGCATACGATGGCTCAAGTTTCTGGGGATGGCGGGATGCATGGACAAAGTGTCAGCATTGAACAAGCTAAGCTGCTTCCTATTTACTTTCGTAGCGTTCACTTTTGGCACGGTACAAATTACTGTTGCTTAATTTCCATAAGCTTGCGCTTATCATCTGGTGCATATCACGCTTGAATGCCGGCGGCAAGTGAATTGGACAATTTTAGTGTTACATTGAGACTACTGGCAGGCTCTTTCTTTGAAATGAATGTTTGGGAGTTTGCCCCCCCCCCCCCCCCCCTCCCCTTTCCTGAGCTCTTCATAACAACTATTTAATCTACTTTATTGTGTAACGAAACAACTGAGCAGTTTACTCGTACAGGAGTTGCTCTAATTTTAACTGTTGTTACAAAATCACTTTTGTCAGACGTACTTAATTTAAATGTATTTTTTTGGAATGAAAACTAATAAATGGCCGAGTGAGAGGGTTCTACCCCTTCTCTCACTCTACGTAAAAAAGCTTTTTTCCGTGAAGCTCAAAAATATAGGGTGTCCACTGTGATATTTACCTTACAATAAACATTAGTAGCCAATGTCCTCCATGAAGAAGTTACGAACGTTATATTCAGTGGAATATATTACAACAAACAATACGCATGGCTAATTATATCGTGCGGCTCGGCAATGTTACCCAACAATAAAATGACTGTGAGTGTGCCGGCTCTACCATCTTAGTCAATACTGCTGTTATGTTTTATGAAAACATTAAAGAACCACCGACGTCACTCGAGCCGTAAAAAAAAAAAAAAACTTATTTTAGAAGCATGACTTTAAAACAGGCTCAATAGCAATATGTGTGATAAATCAAGCCTGCCGTTATCATGCGTCATGTCAGCGCGGCAAGTCTTTCACACTTAGCTAATTTTGTGTAGCAAACAATCAAACTTCGATACAACTTCTAAGGCTGTGAAATATGTACAACCTCGGAGCGAGGCAGCACCTGTAGCGGTTCACACCTTGTTCTGCTGATTTTTCCGGGCTGGTGCACCGCATATCTATACCGTCCCTGGTGAGCGACCAACCGCGGCAGCTTCTTACGCTTACAGAACTAGACCAGATTGCTGTTTTCCGTCGAGGGGTTTGGTTCTCGCATTTCTACAAGTGCCTCGTTCTCTTTACTAGCCCCTGCCCAACAGCCAGTGCTTGGAAAGTCAGCTGTGAGTTGTGCCATACGGACGCCATACCCATACCTGGGCGCGTATTGCCGGTGCCGCAAGAAGCTGCTTGGGTCTGGACACCTGGATGGGAGCGTTGACCCTCACGGGTAGACAGGAAACAGGTGGGCGGATGACGATAAGAGCACCGACGATACACAGGAAAGGGTCTTTGGTTCGGGCGCTGCCGGAGACACCCAAGTCACTCTCTGGCGGTGTTCTATCCCAGGGTTTGAGGTAGCGATATCATTTAATGCATTCTTCCAGTCATGTGCCAACTCTCCGTACATATTTCACTAAACCTATGAAATAAAAAAAGAACAGTCGTCCGGCCTGACTTGCGTACCACCTCCGAAGCCTAAAGCAAGCCTCTATCTCTGAAAAAAAGGCTTGCGTTGATTTAATCCGCCTGCCTTTCACCGAGACCCCTGTATATACCACGCCTTCTAATAAAGC